ACTCCCAGGTATTTTTCGCTCTCCGGGCAGCGCTGTCCCTTCCCCTTCCTCCAACTCTCCTTCCCGGGACGGCTCCGCCGATCCTGCTGCCAGCCCGTCTCCGGTTTAATATATATATAAAAATATATTTGTTTTTCATTAAGGAGAAAAACAACCCCTCCCGCGCCGGGATTTAACCCTTCCCCCCCCCTCCCCGCCCCGCGGAGCTCCGGGGCTGCGGGGCCTCTCGGCGGCCACGACCCGGGCAGGGCTGGGCTGGGGGGTGTCCCCCGCCGTCCCCGCTCCCCTCGGCCCCCGCGGGGTGACCCGGCTGCCCCCCTCTGCCACGTCCCCCCCTGTGTGTCGCTTGCCCCCGCAGAGCTACTCCTCGGTGAGCAACATGAACGCGGGGCTGGGCATGAACAGCATGAACACGTACATGACCATGTCGGCCATGAGCACCACGGCCAACATGACGGCCGCCACCTCCATGAACATGTCCTACGCCAACACGGGCATGAGCCCCTCGCTCGCCGGCATGTCCCCGGGCGCGGGGGCCATGCCCGGCATGGGCTCGGCCGGCGTGGCGGGGATGGGCGCCCACCTGAGCCCCAGCATGAGCCCCATGGGGGGCCAAGCGGGCTCCATGAACGCCCTGGCCCCCTACACCAACATGAACTCCATGAGCCCCATCTACGGGCAGTCCAACCTGAACCGCTCGCGGGACCCCAAGACGTACCGGCGGAGCTACACCCACGCCAAGCCGCCCTACTCCTACATCTCCCTCATCACCATGGCCATCCAGCAGTCGCCCAACAAGATGCTGACGCTGAGCGAGATCTACCAGTGGATCATGGACCTCTTCCCCTTCTACCGCCAGAACCAGCAGCGCTGGCAGAACAGCATCCGCCACTCGCTGTCCTTCAACGACTGCTTCCTCAAGGTGCCGCGCTCCCCGGACAAGCCGGGCAAGGGCTCCTTCTGGACGCTGCACCCCGACTCGGGCAACATGTTCGAGAACGGCTGCTACCTGCGGCGCCAGAAGCGCTTCAAGTGCGAGAAGCAGCTGGCGGCCAAGGACGGGGGCGGCGCGGGCGGCGGCGCGGGCGGCGGGGGCAAGAAGGGGCCCGGGCAGCCCCCCAGCCAGCCCCTGGGCGAGGGCAGCTCCTCGGGGGGCTCCGAGGGCTCCGGCGGCGCCGAGTCCCCGGCCAGCGCCTCGCCGTGCCAGGACCACAAGCGCGCCCTGGCCGACCTGAAGGGCCCGGCAGGGCTGAGCCCCGGGGAGCCGTCGGCCTCGCCGGGCCAGCACCTGCTGGCCCCCCCGCACGCCGGGCTGCCCCATGACGCCCACCTCAAGCCCGAGCACCACTACGCCTTCAACCACCCCTTCTCCATCAACAACCTGATGTCCTCCTCGGAGCAGCAGCACCACCACCCGCACCACCACCACCACCACCACCACAAAATGGACCTGAAGGCCTACGAGCAGGTGATGCACTACTCGGGCTACGCCTCGCCCATGCCCGGCAGCCTGGCCATGGCGCCCGTAACGAACAAACCCGGCTTGGAGTCCTCCCCTTTAGCCGGAGAGACTTCTTACTACCAAGGTGTGTATTCCCGGCCCATCATGAACTCCTCCTAGGCTGGGGAGCGGCGAAAGCCGCCCCCGGAGAGAGGGGGGGAGCCCCCCCCGCGCCCCCCCCGCGGCCCCCCGGCAGCGCGGCGGACTCTGAGCGCTGGCCAGCACGGTGCATATACATACATATATCTATCTATTTTTTTTTTCTGTTGGCTCCAGATGTTTGCATCCCTTCGGGAAGCGGCAGCCGTGTGTCTCGCGGGCCCGTGCCAAGGGCAGGCGTGTCGGTCACTCCCCCCCACCCCCTTCCCCGGCCCAAAGCCACCCGGGGGGGAAGGGGCTGCGATTCCCTCGGTTTGCCTTGTGGGGTGGTTCGTTTCGGTGGGGAGGGCGGGTTGGGGGGCTCGGGGATGGGGAGAAGGGGGTTCTCTCGGGCTTATTTTTATTTTTTTTCGTTGTCGTCGTCTCAAGGAGGTATAAATATATCTATTTTTCTGTGTGGAAGTGGCGGGGGCAAAGCAAAAACCCCCGCGAGGAAAACGGAACCCTCCTCTATTGTGAAACCCGCGCTAGTTTGGAATCCGAGGACCAAAAGTCTTGTAACGTTGTAAAAAGGGGGGAAAAAAGGGGGGAGGGGGGGAAGAGAAAAAAAAATACGAAAAAATAAATAATAATAATGATAATAATAATAATAATAAAATAAAATAAAAAAAAAGGCAGGATAGATCGTTGTAATTGAAACAAACGCTTGATGTTACCGGGAGAGTAAACTACTTGGATCTGATTAATTTATCGTTTCTGTATGCTTTATTTATGGCTTATAAATGTGTATTCTGGTAGCGACCGGCCACATCGCCGCAAACTCCATTAAAGTGTTATTGGCGGTTTTTTTCCCCCCGCTGCATCTCTGTTCCGCCGGGACTCGCCCGTCGCCGCCGCCACCGCCCCGACGGGACCCCCGCCCTGCCCGCCTGGGATCTCCCAAATCCCGGGCTGGGATCTTCCGCAATCCCCGGCCGGGACCTCCAACATCCCGGGCTGGGATCTCTGCCTTCCCCGGCCGGGACCTCTGCCGTCCCCGCCGGCACCCCCGGCATCTCCACCGGGATCCCTCCATCCCTTCCAGGACCCCCGACATCTCCACCGGGATCCCTCCAACCCTTCTGGGACTCCTGAGATCTCCGTCGGGACCTCTCCGTTCCCGGCTGGAATGTCCGACATCATTGCCGGGATCACTCCCATCCCTTACAGGACTCCTGACACCTCCACCGGGACCCCCTGAATCTACGCCGAGACCGACCCATCCCTGGCTGGGACCCCTCCATCCCTTCCAGAACCCCTCCATCCCTTCCAGAACACCCCTATCCCTTCCAGGAGCCCCCCATCCCTGCCAGGATCCCACCATTCCCAGGCAGGGGAAGCCCGTGTCCACCCTGCAAAGCCCGGAGGTGGGAAGCGGGGACCCCCTCCCCGGGGATGGAGAGCCGGGACCCTCATTCCCAAAGCATTCCCTGGAGGAATCATCCCAACCGGGCGGTGTTATCTGGGGGGAATTTGGGGCTCGCAGGGGCAGCACATCCCTGCCCTTCCCGGGACAGGATCCCGGGTTATCCGCGGGGGGGATAAACCGGCGGTGAAAAACCCGAAGAGCTTTATTTTAACCACGGCAAACATGTTTATTTTAAGCACCTCCCGGGCTCTCCGAGCCTCCCGCCCCACCGCCGGGACCCTCCGGTGCCCACCGACACCCCCCGGCCACGCAGGAACGCTCACTCCTCTCCCCTCTCCCCGTCTTCCCAACCACTTGTTGTTTTTCCCACGCGTTTACGGGCGCTCATGGATGTTGCTTTCCCGAAATAACATTCAAATCCTTCTTAAAATTCCGCATTGTCCGCGGGAAGAGAAAAGGGGAGAAAAGGGAGAGGTGGCGGGGGAGGGAGAGAAGAG